AACTGTCAGGAGAGCAATATAAGCCTTATGAAAGTTCTAGCTGTTGGAAAACTCGAACCTTTATGTATTCAAGGCGATTTATATTGTATTTGAGTTTGTTTACTTAATCCTTAATCCACTTTTTAATTCCACATGTAATCTGACAAGTAGTAATTCATCTTTTACTTTACCATCTCCCTATCTTAAACTTTCAACTATTAGTTCTTTTTTTGTTTGACCTTTCCTACTTCTCAACTAAATGGTCATGAGAAATAAACATGGTTAGAATGGTTACACTTTAATACTCCTATTTTTAAAATATCCTTATCTCTTCACTAAACCGAGATTTATTGAAGAGCCCGATTGTTTTAAAAGTAATTGATGGGAAATGTACATTTCACTACTGAATTATCTAAGTTGGTAACCTTCTTCCTGACTTATCACGATAATCTGACGAAGTTGATGTTATATTACTTAAATTTTTTTATAGGGAAACGCTTGACACAGTAAAAAATAATACAGTTACTTCCTACAAGAATACACTGATAAGCTAACATTACCATCGATAAAATTAAGAACAATAAGCATTATAAAGGTATTTTTTTCATTTCTCAGAATAGTCAAATTGATGAAAAACATTTTTAAAAATAGACTTCTTCGTTGGTAAAAATTCAACAAAATTATTCCACTTTATGATGTGATCACTGTATGAGCTCATGGTTCGCAAATGAGTAAATTAAATATTGAGCTCAGATAGAAACCAACCGTTTTTAGATAGGACTTTTCCTTCAGATTTTACAGTAAACAACGATGTTAATGTTAAAACAGAAAGTTTTAGTTTTAAGGATTTACTGATCTTATTACGAAATTCCATATTCAGGATAGTAAGCATAAGAACAGAGTTAAGGATAAATAAGAATTTTCGTCTAAATTTGATCGAATAGTTTTATAGTATTTTGGCACCGAGTTAATGTGAGACATTTAAGAAGACGAATGTATTTGTAAAATCTCAGCGAGAAAATATACCTATTTATATTCGATAATTTTGATGTTTTGATTATATTTCCTTGAAAAAGCTTTAACCAGATTGTCAGGCGAAATGTTCTTTCACTGAGATTTTACAAATACATTCTTCCTCTTTAGAGTTAAGGATAGTGGTGAGTCGCTTGTTAGTAAATAAAGTCATATTATGTAATATCTCACTACTGACTGACTTATACCGACCACGTTTGAATTCTAACTGTCAGTGTGATTGACTGAATGTTAGTGTCTTGTTGGGTTACTTTCACTTACTGTTGTTAACTGGATTAGTCGATATTCTAGATATAAAACGTTGTCTTATCATAAAAAATCTTTCTAAAGGTAGTTAGTAACTTGCTATTGTTTGTTCCCTCAGTTATTTTTTTTTCTGAAACGCTTCTGAAAGGTATTCTCACTAAATTTTATCTAACTGCAAAAAGTATTTCTTTCATTAAGATATATAAACATTTTCTAGTAGAATTCATTAATCATATGTTCTATGATAGAGATGATTTAACTTTCTTATTCAAGGGGCTATATGAACGTAGATACTAAGCTAGAAGGGTAGCAAATACAACTTTTAAAAATATTCTTGATTCTAATAATGACATGAAGCTTTAATTGAACTAACATTTATTTACGCAAGGTTCAATGTTAACAATGTCACATCCTCAGTTTGATAAATTCAACTGTACACGTTTCCTTCAAAAATATTACAATTAAAAAGCACTTAACTTATCGTAATAAGTAATATGAATCTCAGGATTATGCTTGTGAACTGAGATCTGAAATTAGACTTGGTAAAGTTTGTACATGAAAAAAGCTTTCTCATAAAGATAAGTTGACATAAAAAAGTAGAAATTTCGTGTGAAAAATCTTTCGGTTTTAAAAACTTGTCGTCTCTCAGCAACATCTGGAATTCAGTCTATGTGTTGCACATGTTGTAGAATTCATTCAGTTTGTTTTCAGTTAACATTTTTATTAGTTCTATCTGAAGATCATGATATGTTGATTCTGTGTTAAAAGAAAACAGGATAGCTATTAAATAAAACAGTCAATTAAATGATTTGATATCTTCGAAATCCGTGATAATTCATTCTAGAACTCTAGATTTGATGACAGTGTTTTTCGACAGTTTCCAGCGAGATCATTTGGTTGTCTAATGTGAAGAAATCAGAAAAAATTGATTTTCTCAAGTTTACAAGACAGCAGATTGAGTCTGATTGCAATCCCTAATTATTCCATTATATAATATAGCGTCTTGAAAAATATCTAAATTGTTTTATTTGTGTCCGTTTCACGACAGATTTCTAAACCATTTTGCATATCGTGTGGAGTACAATATCTAGTGATATTTCTCTTAACTCTGTTCTATAATACACCGATTGTTAGAGAACAGGCGTTCATTATTAGCGTACCATTAACACAATAACCAAAAACAAATTTGATTGTTAAAGTGAAAGCATGAATTATTTTTGATAATCGATAAATCCTTACTCTCCTGGTTGATGAACACAGAATTCTCAATACCAATAATACTATTCTAAATTGAGTTTTATGAATTATTTATAGATATAAAGACTATATATTGAATAAACCTAGTCCCGATTATAATAAGATTTTTCATATTACCAAAGATCACTGTCAAATCACTTTTACAGTAAGCTGAGCATGAATGGAGAATCCTAATGGGTAGCCTATGCTCCACCAGGGGAGGGGGAGTAATAGGCTTAAGTAAGTAAGTAAGTAAGTGAGCAAGTTATTGATCTTTAGTGAACTGACCTTATCTATTTATTTATAAAATATATACTTTAAAAATCTTTAGATCAAATTATTATGTAAAATATTACATGGACTTGAACGTAATTCATTTGTATGCAAAATAAAATGTTGTATTGTTTCAAAACCTTCAACTGGTTTTATAAGCCCAGTCTGGTTTAGATATGTCATATGATGTTCAGACTTTCTTTAAACAGTTCATGATTTTATAACAAAGCTGAAACATCATTTATATTATGCTTAGTCAGATGTAACTTATCTATGTACAGTTAATTATACTTGAATTTTAAGGCAAAACGTGCAAACAAACCAATATATATATATATATATGTTCTTAGACTTCAAACCATAATCTGACAACGACATTTATCACTATGGTTTTAAAGTTTAAAATCCCCTAACTATCACATATACATGCTATGATATTTAGAACTACATAAATACAAAGATAAGTACACATCTGTTTGATATACACGCTTAGACTATGTATATGTTTGTTGTAGTAAAATTGTTACATCACTTTTAACACCTTGTTAACTTACTTTTTTTTCAAAATATTGTCTTGACTACTGTTAAGATCATGTATTTTTCAGTGATATTTTGATGGGTAAGAAAACATTATTCATCCATTGTTAGATGTGAACAAAAATAACAATGGTTTTCAAGTCAATTAAATGATTAACTTCTAACTAGACAAATAATAATGTTCATATTCTTTTTTATCGTCCTCTCAATGGTAGATAATGTTATGAATATAATTTTAAAGTCAGATTATATTCATTCATTTTAGTTAAAAGGAATTTGTTCTCAGTGAATTCTATCAACAGAATAACAATTCAGTAGGCTTTTAAGTAAGATCAGAAATTGAAATAAATATAATCTATATATATTTGAATTGAATATGATAAGAATGAGCTTTAAGAATGATTTTCGTCATTGAAATATATCACTGGTGTAAAAAATAATCAAGAAGTACTTGGCAGTTGATCTGTCATTCATTGTGGTTCATTAACAATGGATAAACACTACCGATATTATCTCTTCATTTATTTTCTAATTTTATGATCTACCATAAACTTATATCGGTACAAATGGTTATCATTTGGATTTTCTTAAGTTTTCACACGCTAAACGGTCACATAAGCTGTCAGTACTAGTTAGATTATTTTAAATCAAAACCAGCTATTAAAAGAAGACTATCAATATTATGAAATTTGTTTGGGATAGAAAATGGAGTTTATTTTATCCATTCATGGTATCCATCTAAACTCAACAATCTCCTGAATCTTATACGGACCATGATGATTAGTTCAAAATGTCAAAAAGGTTTAAGTGATAAACATTATTAAATAAGAAAGTTTTCTAAATATATCCTGTGTGAGGTAAACTCATCTTAAATTTTGAATTCATGAAAAATCCACGAAATTGCGCGACCGACTTCCATTGTACTTAAGTAGATAACTGTCTCTACCCGACAAGGATTAGCTCCACTGGTCACGGCTTCTCACTAGAACTCCGAGAATTCCCTCACGAAGCTAGTCACTAGTGAGCACATGTTGATTACTAGTATGTGCATTCAAAAACTTAATAATCTCCACAACCCCTATACTAGTAATTCATGAAAAAAGCCAAATTATCACAACAGCATTACATTAAATTTATTACAACATAATTGATAACTTGATTAACAAAATATACATAGGATTTTTTTCATTGGTTAATTGATACCAAAGTATATTCAACAGTCACTCACTCACTACTTATTTATTTTAAGTAGTCAATGATGTTAGAATTTAAAAGCTGAGTTTAACTGAATTTAAATAAAACAAGAACAAATATTGATGCAGAATAGTATGAATTCATTTTATTTCAGGGTTTCTCGTCAGCTGCTTACAACCAAATATGTAATAGAATTTTACACTGGGATGAGAAATCCTATGAAACAATTGACATAATTGAATGTAAATAGTTGGAATGACAATGATTATCAATAATAGCAGATCAAAGATTATTTGGTGTTAGAATGAAGAAAACAATTAAGGATGAGTGATGTAATAGTTGAATAGAGTTGAGAGACATATTTGGTTGTAAGTAGCTGACGAGAAACCTTGAAATAAAATGAATTCATACTATTCTATATCAATATTTGTTCTTGCTTTATTTAAATTCATTAAAGGAACTAATTACATGAAATTTTTGAAAAACCGCCTCCTTGCTCTTACCTGAATTATTTCGTTTGTTTAAATAAATATCCTTTTGTATATCCAAGCAATAATTGTCTATAAGACATAAAAGACATAGTAACAACGATAATCTTATATTTTTGTTTATTAATGAAGACATTAGAAGTTAATTTATATTGTTTAGATAAATATAAATGTTATTACAACAAGTGTTCATGTTACATCATAAATAATAAAGAATATATTCACTTATATGAAGTACTACTCAGTAAAGTTATATATATATATATGAATGCAATTGGAAAAAGTAAATATAAAAAAGACGATATTGTATTTCTACTAATCAGCTATTTGATTGGTTTTATAAATGAACCAATGAGAAAAATGTGGCAAATTTATTTTAAATAAAATTTCGCCCATTTCAAATTACATAAGGATAAGTTAGGTAATTATTTAAAATTATCTTCAGTCATCATTGATTGGTTACTTGTTAGAATAAAATATTTTCTACTTTAAATGAAATATATTCATGTCACTTATGTTTATCTTTTACGTAAAAACAAATACAGGAGAAGACGACCGGTGTAGCAACAGCCTCAGCAGCAGTAGGTCTCAATATACACAAAGGGAAAAGAAAGATTTCCGATATAACACAGAATGCACCAATCCAATCACAATTGACGGAGAAGATTGGGAAGATGTCAAAACCTTGACACATTTGGGCAGCATAGTTGATGAACAGGGTGGATCTGATGCAAATGTGAAGGCGCGGATTGGCAAAGCAAGAGCAGCATATTTACAACTGAAGAACATCTGGAACTCAAAACAACTGTCAACCAACATCAAAGTCAGGATTTTCAATACAAATGTCAATACGGTTCTACTGTCTACTAGGGCGGAAACCTGGAGAACTACAAAAGCCATCATCCAGAAGACACAGGTGTTTATTAACAGTTGTCTACGCAAAATACTTCAGATCCGTTAGCCAGATACTATTAGCAACAACCTACTGTGGGAGAGAACAAACCAGATTCCAGCGGAGGAAGAAATGAGGAAGGAGCGCTGGAAGTGGATAGGACACACATTGAGGAAAGTTTTGTGGCCCATAGATCTGACTCCAAGATCGTACGAATGATTGCTATCACCTATTCTCGTATATCATCGTCGACTTGAATCGCGTTAGTCAATAACGGAATCAAATAAGTCGAATAACGAGAATTGACTTGTGAATGCATATATTTTGTACATGAAGCGAATGAAACAGCAAAGCAAAATGACACGCAGGGAAGATGGCTGGGGAGCCAACTCCATTTTAGTCAAGCGTTACTCAATATTTATAGTCAGACAGAATAAAGCTACAGACATGTGATTAATGGAATAAGAAGGGCACACACATATACGCCCATATAAAAACAGTCAAGACTAATAAGCGAATAACTGACAAGGTCGAAATATGACTCAAGTAGAATGAATAGAATGGTTTGTCCAAAAACTAGAATAAGATATATGGGCTTAAAATAATGACTGACACTACAAAAGCATCCAACTGCATCACAAGGCAAGCCCTCATACGGAATCCTGAAAGCGAAAGGAGGAAAGGAAGACCAAAGAGCACATTACGCCGAGAAATGGAGACTCAAGAAAAATGAACAAGAATTGGACAGAACTGGAAATGAAGGCGGAGGACAGAGTGGATTGGAGAATGCTTGTCGGTGGCCTATTCTCTATTGGGAGTAACTGGCGTAAGTATGTTTATCTTTTAAATATAAAACTATCAAAATTTTAAATAAATATAAATTGTTATACATACTTTCAGGAAACGTTTCATTATACATTGAAATTAGTCGCACACAAAAAATGTACACTGAAAATTAGAATGTGTTCTGTGTCACTTTTATCTTACTATGGGACTTCCTAGGTGCTATAAACTTGTTGCGTTTAAATCTTGCATTAAGTCAAAATATAGTGGTCGACAATTTTAACTTCATTGTAATTTATGAAAAAAGGGTAATTTTCATTGTTTCATTGATTATTTATTGTTTAACCTCTAACTTGATTGATTCCATAGGGTATAATGCGTCGTTATAACAACTGAAAATATATATTAAAGCTATTCACTGATCAGAATATGATTATTCTCAGTGCTTCTGAGTAGGTTTTTCATGAACGGACTTTCTTTTGCAGCTATTCTCTATTTTTTTTGCAGTTATGTTCGATGACTTTCACTAATTCTCGATTAAGTCAAAGAGGTAGGTGAATGAGTATTTTTAATCCACAATATTTAATCTCATCCTTTTTTTTAAATTATTGAACTATTTGTTGCAGATATTATATATATACGTCACTTAGTATTACTCTAGAGTGATGGGATTAAATAACTGATGACCATGATGAGTGATCTGTTCGAAAAATAACAGATTGGGAAATGTCAATATTACGACTGTATTTTATGAAACCTGTCTTTTTTATATACGTTACAAGGGAGTAGAATTACGTTTTAAGTCTAGAGATTTAATACCTATCCGGAATATACAATACAGACCCGAAACGCACTTCCTATATTTCATAAATCCTAAACAACACTTTTTCCTGACGTAATCTATCGTCCTATTGTAGTGAAGAACACAGGTGAGGACAACCAAATTGTACTAAGCACAAAATTACAGAGTTACTTGCTAAAATAGAAAAACCATATAGTAAATCGTTAATTTGCAAAATATCATTCCATCATATCAAACCGGACTGCTGCTGTTGCAAACATCAATCCATTGTCTCACATTTCATTGTTCATGCGATTTCTTACAAATTCCATTGTGTTCTCGCTCTTCCTTTCTTGATCTTCCCCATCTTCTGCTGCCAGACATTACGTTCTTTTAACTCATGTTATCTACTACTTATATCAATATACGTAGCACGCACCACACTATCACTGTTTATGTTGAAGACTTCTATATGACATGGTATAATTGGTGACATATTACTTTTCACAACAACAACGTTCATGGAAGGAATACAATGTATAATGTAGAATAAAAAATTTCGTCTCATATTTTTATTCTTATCTTGTGATATGCAATAGTTTTATGCATCATTTATATATCAGTAAAGAAAGATCATATTGTGTAATCGATTGATCCGTCAGATGTAATTGACATATGGTCTGCTGCAAATATAAGTCAGAGTAAGTTGTTATAAAATTAAGAGGATGAATAGAATACGAATAGAAATAGTGCAGTAACAACAATAATGACAAAGACTGAACATTGAAAATATGGTGCAAAAAGACTAAATGAAAATGTAGTTAGGAACAGATATTCAGACTAAAGATCATTGTCCCTACTGATTATTAATATTATTGTTGACTTGATAACAAATACGATACTCTAATTCGTTGGAAGTAGTTATTATGATTTAAACTTAATCTATATTAATCAGCTTGCATGATAATAAATGCAGTGTACACATAATGCCATAGTCTCAAAGAAAGAACATCACCAAAATTGTTTTTCTTTTGGTTAGTGTTTTCTTATAAAGGTTGTTTTGTAGATGGCATTGAGTAGAATGCTGAATTTTTTTATTTTGGTGTCTACCTATGACAAATATGTGAAGAACTGTATTGTGCTAGCGAAACCACCCTAAACGTGCTCATATGGTTGTGTAAGTTAAATTGATTTGACGAAAACCAATTATGCCCTTCTAACACTGTTCACTTTCTGAGCCCCTGTAGAATTTCATGACTGATATATTGGTGAAGGTTACCTTGAACAAATGTCCTTAAAAAGAATTGAGGGTTTTGCTTGAAGATTATCTGGGTACCCAAAAAATAGAATGGTCAAACGATCATATTAGTAAAATCTAGATCTTGGCTAACACCTAGAACCGAAATGTGGAAATCTTTGGTAAATGATTTTCGTTCTTTATATGTATCTTGACTACACCTTATGACCTCCGATTTGTTCCTGCACTTATATATAGAGTTATCATTGATAACCTTTGTCATTCTAATACTCTTCACTCATCTATGTCAATTGTTTCACACTATTTCTGACCTCAATGTAAAGTTTCAATACATAAAAGGTTGTAAGCAGCGGACGAAAAACCATGAAATGTAATGAATTCATATTATTCTGCATCCATGTTTGTTCTGGCTTTATTTAAATTCATAAAGGCAAGCTATTGCATAACGGCTAAGAATTGGTATTATCGAGGACCTAGCTTAAGCATGGAAATTTTATTGATTACCTGTATAAATCATTTTAACCGTCCTAATATAATCATTAGCTTAAGTTGAGTAATCGCAGATGAAGCTATGTTAAAAACTGTTTATATTAGTTTTGATGGAGTTTTGTTCTTTGAGCTGGATGGTTTGGTCTTGGAGCTTTCACCGTTCTGAACTACATCATCAGTACAAACTTCAGGTAGAAAGCTTCACGAGCAAACCATTCAGCTTGGAGAAAAAAACTCCATCAAAATCATCCACCTGAACTACAAATCTTCTCCACCATCTCAAAACCATATGAGCGTAGTACTGTTTATATAGTCCTCAGTATTTTAATATAGTTCAATCAACATAGAGTAGGATCAGTCAATTGAAGATGGTCACTATGACACCGAATATCCCCTAGATTCTCTATCGACAACAATCACTCATCTAGCAAATTAAAACTGTTAAATTTTTCGAGTGAGACCATGAACCGACTGATGTTATATCACCATTGAAAATCTGGAAGCACTGGACGTTCATTTCGTCCTATTATGGTACTCCTCAACAGTGCCCATCCACGATCTCGCTCGGAGGATTCGAACCCATAGCCTTCAGTCTCGCGTTCGAACGCTTAACATCTAAACCACTGAGTCAACCGGCATCCAACAGTGTTAGCGTCTAACGAAATGGCGACGAAACAGCCATTCCATGTTTTCAGTAGTGATCTAACATCAATCAGCTCATGATCTTAATGAATAACTTAATAATCACCACAACCCTATACTGATAAAACTGTTAATTATTCAATTTGTAAACAAATATACAATGAAAATTAATTGGAATTATAATTTAATTCCATACATACAACATTTTAGTATTTACATTAAAACCACAAAACATAAGATTATCTTGTTAATTAACTACAGTGTTATGTAAAATAACTAAGAAATTAACAGCAACAACAAAAAAAAACAAGAAAAAAAACGAATGTTACTAATTCCTTTTTCTTTATTTTTATTCACTATTGTTATGATTAAACTTTTTTTATTTT